TGCATGCATGTATGTATGCATGTATGTGTGAGACATATGTGACAGAGCTCGACCTCAAACAGACCCGAAACCAGGGGCGGCTTGTGGCAGTACTTCCGCAGGACATGTTGTGTTGCGACTGGATGGGGCCGGGACTTTTGGGAAACATGGAAGACTCCGAATAGATATCTATCGACTAAACATTCTTCAACGGTCGGTTTTTGATATGAAAAGGACGCAGCAGACCTTGTGACAGTGCTAGCGCAGGCTTTGCGATTGCCCGCAATGATAATTAGCTCGGTCTAGTATCGACACCAGGAATGACGCAAGTTGTCTACACTCCCTGGAGACTATTCAACTAGCTAATGCAATTCGTAGGAAGCATGCTGTCACGAATAAGGCTACTGCTCATTCCAAGCGCTCACGAGCTTAGCGCCAGAAGGAACATTCACCAAATCATACTAGGATGCAGAGAAGTAGTCACAGTAGTCGTCGTAGCGTCAGTCGTCGTTGTATTCGCAGCTGTCGTCGTCCTGGTGGTGGTAGTAGTGATAGTAGTGGTCGTCGTTGAGGTGGTGGTGATGGTAGTAGCAGGAGCAGCAGCAACAGTTCTGCTGCAGTCCTTCTAGTTTTGGTAGTTCTAGAAATCATTGTTAGCACTTGTCATAGTAGTAGTATTAGCACTAATAGTGCTAGCATACCGGTAGTCCTGGTAGTTCCACCAGTACTTGTGGCACTAGTGGTACTAGTAGTACTAGTAGTACTGGTAGTCTTGGAAACATTTGCAGTAGCAATATCAGTAGCAGTAATAGTAGCAGTAGCAGCAGCAATAGCAGTAGCCGCAGCAGTGGGAGTAGTAGTAGTAGTAGTAGTAGGAGTAGTTGTAGTGGCAGTAGAAACAGTATCAAACTACTTACCATAGTAGTTAGCGGCAGTGCAACTAGCAGTTTCAGCAGCAGCAGCAGTCGTCGTAGCTGTGGCAGTAGCGTGGCCGTAGCAATAGTCGCTGCTCCGCTGGTGCGCCGGCGTGCGGTTTAGCCACAGCATAATGTCAGCCGTGCTTGAATGGGCCTAGGTACCTCTCAAAGTAGCATTCAGGACAGTGGTGGCGACATCGAAAGCCGTTTCAGTGCAGCCGAAAGTTTGATAGTTGCCACATATATGAAACGGCAGAAAAAATCCTAGCCGTGTAAGTCGATGCAATGCTTTATTTCGTCGGTCTCTGCTTAAAGTAGGGCAGTGGACTATTGAATTCAGCGCGACGAGGGATTACCAACTGCAATTATACCCAAGAGCACCAGCTAAGTGATCGTGAAAGCGGCAATGTGCATAATCCGGTCGTCATATTGTGAATGCACTTCCCCCAGCACTACTGACAGCAGCAACACGGAGCAAAGCAAGAACATCTACCATTGAAGTCACTGATTGTTTCTGCTGCGTGGTTCAGGAGGCGAAGCCCATTATTGACTGGGGTCAGATGCCACAGCCGGCACAGCCCGTCCAGGCCGTTCAATGCAGAATTTGAGAACGAGAGTTGAGGTCATGCAGATTTGTGATTGTTGTGTGCTTTCGAGAAGAGAATGAAGACCCCTCAGACATTGCATCACATAAGTTAAGGCATTCATGCCCGGATGGGTAGTTGAAGGCGGTCAATTGGCGCATGCAAGCTGTGCTGGCAGTCGTGAGTCGCTTGTACAGGAGGATGTCGCTTCCGGGTCGGGACAGCTCGAAAAGTTGCTAGGGCAGGGTGTGCCTACGATGGCAGCTTTGAAACATGAGTTCAAGGTTGCCAATCTTTATCTGCTATGGCTTTAATCACGGCACGGCTGTTCTGGTGTCTTTAGAGTTCCGCTTTGAAAGGCTCCGGCGCGGGCGCCCTCGGCATCCATGAAGCCCCTCGGTAGAGAGCCGCATATCTCATGCACATCTTCCTTACTATTATCAGACACCACATCTGGCTGTGTCGGCTTTGAATCGTTACTCTGCATATGTTTATGTATTATGTAGATTTAGTTATTGCGGCTTCATTTGTGCACCGGTCTCTCTATTGTGCTGTTGCGAATCACCACCCCCTCAAGACGACAGACCTTATCGCGCTCAAGTTCTCCAAGACGAATGTGTCAGTCATCATCAGCCCTACCGTATGACTCTGACTTCACGATAGCGATTACTATTACCATCACCTGCTGGCTGATCTTCGTACTCGTAGAAAATAAAAAACCAAAAGCTCTTGCCGTCCATCTTGCCACCGTCATCGTTGTGGTTGTGATTGTGGCTGTGGTTGTGGTTGTTGTTGGTGGTGGTTATTGGTTGTGGTGTTGGTCGTCGAAGTTGTTGTTGTCGTTCCTTGGTGTGGATTCTTGTTGTTGCTGTTGTTGTTGTTGTTGCTCTATGGTGTTGTTTTGTGTGTTGTCGTTTGTTGTGAGTTCGACGAGGAGCCGGGCGGGAGCTTCGCACGGCTCTCGTGCCCGGCGGCCCGCCTTCCCACCGCCTCCTCGACCTCCACGCAGAAAGACCGCCGAGCATCCTCTGCGTGATGGTTGAGCTTGTTCAGTGTGGCGTCGATCTTTCCACGTCGCTGCGAGTACCTCGGCCACCTCGGTCTCCTGATACATCTCGCCCTCGACAGCCTTGCCTTGGTCGCGCTCTCGGCGAAAGCCTGCTGCCCGAAAGGCTCGTAGGCATCGCACCTTAGGTGCCATTCCACCAATCATCATCGTCGGCTCGACGTGGTGGGCCGCATGCCTCTGCTCAGGCACGACGTACTCCGGGAAGCAAGACCGCATCACCGCATCGCCGGAGACGGCGTATCGAACTTCAACCACAGCCCTCTGCTCTTCCGCCATTCTGCTCCTAAGCAGAAGAAACCATCCCTTGGCCTCCTACGTCTCTCGGGCCCGTGCACACCACACGCGGAGCAGCTCGCCCATCTCGTCGGAGCGGTCACGTTCTGGCCACCGCTTGTCCAGGAGATCGAAGATGAACTTCTCGCCACCTTCCTTCTGGTACTCATCTTTCTTAAGATGCTCAACGATCTCCAGGGCCGAGCCTTGAAGCAATGTCCAGACGAAACTTCCTCGGGCCGACTTGGGCAACTTGTCCATCACCATAGATATTGATTCTGGCACCACATCTTCCATCTCCTGTACTCACGGTAGTCGACATTGTCACCGCCTCCAAGGTACCGCAAGCCTTGGCTAGGCTCGCCCATGGCGAGAGACACCATTTAGGTATCTCCAACTCCCTACCCCGGGCCGTAGCCTCCGCTACATCAATCTTGGCAGCGATCTGACGCACTCCTGTGCGCGCTTTTCCTTTCGGGTGGTGAAAGCGCCTGCGCTCACTCACATCTGCCGTGTGGCTTCTGCTGATCATTGCTACCCATATAGGGCAGCGCGACGAACACAGCCCCAAACAAACACCGGACCATATGAGGCGTCAGCGCTCAACCTTGCCTCCAATCCTTTCAACTCCCCACAAACCATTAACCTTCAGTCCCGTCAACACCAACCTCACAACCTTAATATCCCTGTGCACCAAAGCTAGACTCGACCTTGAAACCCAGGAGGTCCTTAACCACAAACCCCAAGTCCCAAATCCGACGCCCCCGTCACCGAAGTATATATTTCCCGAGAGCCGCCAAGGCTTCCGAATCCGGCGACTGCTGGTCCACCAGGTCCGACGATTCCGCAGGGGGCCTGGCCTGTTAAGGGGTTCGGGTTTTAGCAGTTGGGAATTCATGTGGTTTGGGCTTGGCGTTTAGATGGAGTCTTGTAGCCGTGAGATATTTGGAGTTTTCTGGGATAGAATCAGACTTTACTTGACTTGACAGATTTGGCTATTCAGAAGGCTTGAGGATCTGCGGCTTCAGGATTTCCGGCCTCAGCGCTTTCCACGAGGGCGAACGTATGCAAGGTGACGGAGCCCTGGTCGCCAGGATCCCCGAGCGGGCCTGCATATAGTTATATGTATATGTGTATGCACATATATATATATATATAGGTACATGCCAAGTATGTACATGTTTATGTTCTGATATGCATCTCTGCATCATTCTGCATCCGTCATTCGATTTGTGTGGTTGTTAGTGTGTGCCTGCCTTTGTCAGGCAAGTACGTACATGCATACATGCATGCAGGCATCCATGCATGCCTTCAGGCATACATACACACGTACATACATACGTACATACATGTTTATTTTCATACCTGCTACCGGCCCTGGCGGCTTATTTCCGGTTGTGTACATAAAAACCAGGATATTTGTAGAAATACGGGCGTGTAGAAAAATACGAGCGTGAGGCCTTTGATGAACATCAGCTGAAGTTATCACCCTCATATAAAAGCTACATAGGAGCCCATTGCGAAGTTGAAGTAAAGTATTTCAGTGTCGAGTTCACACAGAGGATATAGTTCTTGAGGTCCGGATGGTTGTTTTGGGCTCTGGAGTACTTCTTGAGGTGAGGATGGCTGATTTGGGCTTTGGGGGTTTGCCTTAGGGTCTCGTAGTTGGGGCCGTTAAAAGAAATCATTGTTGGGGTTTTTGGCAGTGCGGGATGTTTTTGTGAAGAAGTTTGGGTTGGGCTCGGGTCGTCGTCAGGGTTTAGAGTTTGAAGGCGTTGCGTTCTTAGGGATTAGTGGTTCGTGCTGGGAATGGAGCGCAGGTTGTTAGATCTCAAACCCAGCGAAGCAAAGACCAAACACCCCGAACTCAAAACTTGAAAACTCCAAACCTCTTTCAGACCCTCTCAATTTAAGGGACTATGTAGCTGAAAACCTGAATACCTTCAATCCTCCTTGGACCGTCGCCCTAAACCCTAAACCCCTGTAAACCCCTAAACCATCCTTCGCCCCGTAAAGTGTTTTGCGCCTGGCTCTGCGGCTGCTGATCTGCGCTGGGCTCCCAGCCGACGACAAGTCTTTCAGGTTTTAGGATTTAAGACCCTATAGAAATTATATACCCTAATTCTCATCGAGTTTAAGGGCTATTGGGTTTAAGAGCAGTTTAAGGAGTTTCGGGACTTATCGTCGGTCTTTGTCCAGTTCCACACGGGTGGCTATGAGATACCGCTGTATCGTGCGCAAACAAAGAAGACGCGGTGATATTCTCCGGCTCAATCGCGACACTCTTCCAATGTAGTCTTCACCCTGAAAAGTGGCCCGGCTCAGCGGGTTGAGTACGTTGTCGCATCGCCGGGCGGTCAGAATCAATCCAAGGCTGACGTGATGAAAACAATGCAATTTCGGTGTCATGTTGAATCGAAGGGCTTTTGCCTGATATGACAACTCCGCCGCTTTTTGATAACAGCGGAGAAAGTGAAGCCCCGCATTTCCTGCAGCCACTGCTTCATTCGCTGACATCCATAATGATGTCTCCAGCAGAACCTTCATGAAACGCGCGATGGCTGTAGCCCCACTGACCACCACCTGAAAGATCTTTGTCCTGTCATACATCTCTTTGTTCTTCTGCAGCACCCAGCTTGCAAACTCGATGAGGACAGGAGTATCAGATGCTTTACTCCAGTGGCCAACTGGGTAGGCAGTGTCTGCCGAATAGCCCAACATGTCCCGTGTGAGCTTTTTGAAATGCACCTGCTTCCGCGAGCCTTTGAGAAACTGTTGAAAATCAACGTTCAGGGCATCCAGCGCTTCTGGAACCGAATCCATGCCATAGACACGAAGTGCCAGAACCAAGGCACTGCCAGCATAGTCACGCCCAATGCCCAGGTGGTAGATGTGCAAAACGTCCAATGTAAAAAACGAGGCTTTGTCCAAAGTGACGTGTGGCACATGTTCAAAAAAAGGCGGCAGCGCATCCCAAGGCGGAGGATTCTCCGAGCCACAAGTTTCGAGCCACTTGGGCTCGGAGCTCAGGTCTTCGAAATCATAAGCCTCCGATCCAGCGTGGCAGAGCCAACAGCATCCAGAGAGCGGTTTGCTCTTGGGTCCCACCGGACCCTTCCTAATGTTGAGGAAGGTCCGGTTGAGGTGCCCAGCCTTCGACAAAAATGGGAGATCCCCCTTTATGCCCAGTACAATAAAGCGGAGATTCCGACCGCCCCCAATATCGTAGCCATGGTAATAAAGCTGTTCGAAGTCCTTCATGGTTTCCGTAATAAACTCGTCGAATCGTTCGGGGTGGTCTTTATAAACACCTTTCGGCATCACTCCAGTTAAAAATCTCGTCGTAAATGAGTGCCCTTGAAGATTGACTCCAGGTTTGCCAGTTCTCAGCATCAGTGGATTGGACTTGCGAGTGCCCAGGCCCAAAATGGGCTGGAAAGCCACTACCATTAGCTCGTCCCGACGATACGTCCTGCCACCGTCCCCGTGTATATAAAGAGGGACCAGATTGTCAAACTCCACGAAGTCGTGCCCGAACAGTTCATGATTCGGCTCCTCGTGTTTGTAGTTGCACCAGAACTCTTGAAGTCGTGAGGAGCCTCGGGTTTGTTCTAAGTCCGGATTCGAGGGTTAGCATTCAATATAGATCGACACCTCCGAAAGCCTGTTTGTTGCTGACCGATATCAGCTACTAGTTTGGATCCAGCAACCCAGAAGCCTAGATTGTTTAAAAGACTTTCACAAATAATTCAGTGATGTAATCCCAACACATCCAAGACCTGAAAGGGGACAATCTTTAATATTCTTCGGATCGAGAGCTTGATGGATATAGGCATAGGGGTTTGGTGGTTAGAGGTTCCAGGGGCGATTGTCTTCTAATTACATACAAGGGCTCCAGGGATTATATAAAGTTGGTGTTGACAAATATTGGGGCACTAGTGGTTTGCTTTGTTCAGACACGGTGCTGCTGGCAAGAGGGCCACCTAGCAGTTTGTGCAGGTAGCCCTTCTCAGCTAAAGTAGCAATATAATCTGTTGGCCGGAGCATTGGCACAGAGCATTCGTCACAGAGGCCAACGTATGTCCACGGCACATTCAGAGTAAGCTCCCACTTTCGAAGCATCGCTTGCAATGATTTCTCAGCATCATTCAGGGGTGCTTTAGCCATATCAGCCAAAGCCCTGCACGGATTTGCCTCGGTCGCAAAGGCCTTGGCAATGGTGGCCACGTGCTTCGCAGAGGCCTCGGCGCAAAGAGAAGGGAATGGGTGGCTTAAGATTCAGAGTCAGCTCTTGAATCCACATAGCAATCAGGCTGTATGCTGCAAAGCACTCGTGAAGGAAGCAATGCGGACTGTTTTTGCACACCAGCTTGCTGATCGAAATGAATTGTAAATCTGGCATACGTATAATTAAACCATGCATAATCGAATTGGGCACACCACACAAAACACAAAGACACTAGTCTCGGACCCACCGAGGCAGATCAGCTCTGGCAGCAACACAGTAACAATGATATGGAGGATCGAACTTTGCTTCGAAGTATCGATTGCGCATTCCCTCCCCACCCAGCTGGACATTGCGACATTGAACCTTGTCCCGATAGATAGCGATGAGGGCACTTTCTAACATCTCGATCGTGGCCAAGTCATTGCTCGAGTGCATAACAAGCATCTTCGTGTAGCCATTGCTCTCGTAGAGCTGAAAGCGAGGTATGCAGTCATGGGTTATTCCGATCTTGAAAATCGCCAAAGACTCTCCACCAGTATCCCTCCGTAGCTTCTCAACACAATCCTTGCAGTGCTGCAAGACTTTCCCAGCTTGTGTATTCTGGGGTATGCATCTGTAAGTTATCCCGTCTGGGACTGCAATCAACGAACTTTTCATGATTGGCCCAGTCACTGCACGAGGTGGCATGGTTTCGGTGGCATCTTCGGATTCAGAGTCGGAGCCCCAAGGAAAAATCACATGGATTGCTCTCTTCTGCCCCATGGCGAGAAACTACTGTACTGCCTACAGTAGGGTGCTAGGCTTCCAGAGAACTTGGGCTACATATGGGTTGAGGGCTTAGGTGGTAAAGCTTCAGGGTAAATAGCATAAAATACAAAACACCTGAAGCCACACCTTGAGGTTCACGGATCAGGGTTTACGGTTTGGGATATAGGATTAGGGTCTGGGGCTTATATGGTAACCTTATGAGGATTTAGGGAACGATCAAGATCAACAGCCATACAGAAAATTTAGAAAGCTTTGGATCGGTACAGAGCAAAACATAACAGCAATGTGGTTGCAATCATCACAATCACTATGCACCCAACTCAAAACTGCAGATCTGGTGAATGTGTTTAACTTCCACGAACGAATAGGGTTGACTGCATTCAAGCCTGTAGACAACTGGAGTTGAGGATTCGGCTCCAGTGGCGAGCGCCTTCGTCAGCGTCTCGGTTTGATGGCTGGCACCATCCTGGATTGTAGGACCTGGCAGCGGGGAGTATGTTCTTACTACATGATGATCATTGCTCTCTGTCTGTACAAAACACTACATCTTCACAAGCACAGTCAGCACAATTTTGAGTCACCGATCTCCCCCACGCACTGCAAGCTGTCACATGTGGGCCATGTGCAACACAGATGACTGTAACCACTGCAGGCCTCCATAGTAATCTAAAGCTCAGGACACCAGGCTCCTATGGCCCATAATATCAGCACACTCTACAACTCACAGCGCCCATGCACATTCAACTTTGTTGATCATCTGCAACCGGGCTATGACAGACGTCGTTCCAAGACGATTGTGAAGCCAACTCAGGGTCCACATAGTTGATGGTCCCAGCCAACAGAACCCTAATGAAGCAGTAGCACTTTGTACTGGTTTGGGTGGTGCCGGGGCCTGAAGCTGAAGCGAAGTTTAGTGCGGGGTTTCAGGGTTCAGGGTGTCTAGGCCAGGACCACGATCAGTAACCATAGGGCTTTACAGTAAGAGGTTGGTGTTCTAATATTGGGATCAATGGCACAGTTGTGTAGAACCTGAGCTGGAAGTTTCCTACATGCAGCCGAAAACACATTGGGATCTTTTGCCCAGGTGGGCTGCGTGCACGCCTATGCGGCTGCCTTGGGCTTGGCCTTACTCTTGGCCCTTTTCAGCTTCTTTTTGGGGTTGGCTTCGGCTTCTTCGGGCTCCTGCTCTCCCGTCTCGCGCTTCGTGCTGGGCTTCCCCGGCTTCTTCTTCAGCTTCCTTAGGTTCAGGAATAGAACTGGTTGTGGTTTTAAGCAAACATTTTTTGTAGCAGCCATCAATCTAAGCAGCTTGTTCTTGATCTCCAAAGATGTCGCCATAATCATCCTGAGATTCAACAGTTGCATACAGTGTTGTTGTTTTCTGAGAGAAACGATGTTTAAATGCATAGAAGACTCTGCCGCTTGACGGATTCACACACTCTGGTGTACTCCTCGTGCTGCCTGGGGAAGCAAACTAATATGTGCGCACTTACGACAATCTGGTTTAAGGATTTAGGATTTCAGGTTTTGTGTTTCTGCGTGGAAGCTAATTTCATAACCAAGCTACGGACCTGTCAAGTCCTGGACCTTTGCATCAGCTTGCAGTTTTGCAAGCTCATCATAAAGGTTTCCAAGAGCCTTGATCACCTCAAGCATCTTGGGCATCTCCCTCAGCTGACTTCAAGCAATGTGTATGACCCTATAGCTACAAATCTGTGTTCTATATATACATCACAAATAGCAGAAAGGGTCAGGGCACGCAGAGACCGATGCATCAGTCGTATCCAAGCGCTCCATGAACTTGTTCAGCTTGTCCCTCGAAGAGACAGCCTCGTTCATATGTCGTTGAAGGCTGTCCTTCACCTCGGTAGCAGCTACTTAAGACATTATGGTATAAACTCTGCAGCCCCCAAAACTGACTGAAATCTTACCACTATAAAGTTTTGATCTAGGTGCTTTGTCTTTGCCTTCTTCAACACCTGCTGGCTCTTCATCATGATTCCAGTTCTTGTCCAGATCTTCAGGCTTGCTCGAGTTCCCCAGACTGTCAACCTTGCCCTTCGCAGAAGTGGAGTCCCGCCAACCCTCAACTTCGTGGGAGCCCCTGGTTCCATGGGTCCTTGTGTCGACCCAGTATTCCGTCTCCCCGTCGTACTTGTTGATCCTTTGTGCTGAAAGACGAAGCAAAGTCAATCATGTATCCGCACAGCCTCTGAGTCGCAAAGTCAAAGGCCAAGGCACCGCTTGAGGGAAGGGTTTGCATCCGCCACCCCGACGATTCCTGCGATGCGTTTCCTTGGATCTATGTAGAGGGAAGTGGCAGCCATGGTTGCAATAGAAGTCCTACCCCACACATGACAATTCATTCTGCTCAAACAGCCACCAAGTTGCGCGGAAAACCCCAATCCTCCTTCACTCACCTTGACAGCCATCTCCCTCTCGGAATAGAATCCTCCATCGGTAACCTGCCTGCGAAACTTTTGGGATTCCTTGTAGACTTCCACTTTCCGAACGAAGTCGCCCTGAGCTGCCACAAGCTAGCCTATGCAATTTTGGTGTGTGTCAGTCGATGCAGAATTTCTCTGTGCAGGCTAGTGTCCCTATCCCCATTCGCCTCTGCCATAAGGGAGACTAGGACATCTCGAGATGCTCCAGCTTTTTTCCACATAGCATGAATGTCATCGCTGACCTGTAGCTTCCCTGAGGTCGTGGCACCACAAAAGCGATTCACCTTCGACCGCATGCGGTTCCAGAACTTGGCATCGTCCTCATCAGGTATGTCCTGATTGGCATAGTAGCAGACACACTAGGTGTCGGGGATAGGGTCTGCTTTCTGGCTTTTAAAGGTTTAGGGAGGGCTTGGGCTTGCAGGGTGGCAGGAAATGGGCCTAATGGGGGCAGGAGCTATTGGTGTTTGAGGGGTGCTAGGGCTCACTCAGATACCAGGGTCTTAGTTGAATTGGGGTTTAGTTTTGTTTCTGCTCCACAGAAGGAAGCTGTGCTAAGAAATTACTTGTGTACTATTCTTGTGTCGTTCAAGCTGAAAGAGATCCTAAATTCCCATACAATTAAGTGTTCAAGGGTTCTCTAGGACCCTAGGAAGGGCCTGAAACACCAAAGACCAAGCCCATACACTAAATCCGAGACCCTGCAAGCAAACACACCTGAAATCCTGGTAGCAAAACATACCTTAGATCTTAAGCCCTGAAAGCAACAAGAAACCCTACATCGAAAACGCCAAGCCCAGAATCAACACCCGAAGCCCCAGACACCAACACCTTAGACCCTAAGCTCCAACCTGTCATACAGCTAAGCTAGCTGCTAGCTTTCTGGCATCAGCTGTCGGCTTAGGGTTTAGGGTTTTTTGGGGGTCTGTGTATTGTATAGTGCATCCCCCTACAACCCTTAACCCTTTAATATCTTCCACTCGAAAACAAGGCCTTCGGAGCCGTCGTTTGTCTGGAGACAGGCTGATCCTTCTTCACCGGGCTAGGATCCTTCTTCGATGGGCTGGGATCCTTCTTCGATGGGCTGGGATCCTTCTTCGATGGGCTGGGATGCTTCTTCGACGGGCTGGGATTCTTCTTCAAGGGGCTAGGGGTTTTGTTCTTGGCATTCGGAGAAGGTGTCTTGGTTCTCAAGCGGCATCGGGGAGACCGGTTGCTGTTGCGCTTTGCATCAGGGGTCTTGCAAAGATTAGAGGAAGAAGCTCCCCCACGAAGTTGCTCGATGAGCTTTGCTTGGGACTGTAACAGCTCAAGCAGCTTCTCGCGTTCATCCTTAGTCCACAACGACTACTTGATCAAGACAACAAAGCAGTCGAGAGAGTCAGCTAGTAGCTACGGTGCAACCCAGCGGCGGTCTTCCCACGCATTCGGATGCAGGGAGGAGTCGTCTGTTGAGTTTTAATCTTCGGGGGTGGGCTCGCATGAAGCTCTGGCTTGGCTTCGGCCTGCTCCACAGGTTCCTCGGGCTCCTGCTGGCCTCTGGAGCTGGGTCCCTGGCTATCCTGTAGCTTCCTCTTCAGGGCCTAGGTGACAACGAAATAACTACAAGATACTTGTACATATAGAGTCTATTTAGTTTGAGGGCACTTCATATGTAAGGCCGGGGCTGACATCGGTACATCATCCTCATCATCAGAGATCTCAACACAACCACCATAGGGATCACGGCGTAGAGGCGAGTCCTGCAGGCAGCCAGGGTCTTTCATTGAGAACGCACATTACAGTTACCATGCTCAGCTAGGTCGTATGTCCTTTGTGGGGCGGCGATTCAGCACTGGGCTAGATGTTGAAGTTGATGTGGAGGGGGAGGTGTTGGTCCGCCCCATAGACTCCAACTCTTGGGTGGTTGCAGGAAGAGTATCTTCTGCTTGAGCATGAGCACCCACTGCAGGAGCCATCTGTGGCTGTGGCTGCTGCAATTGATGTTCTAGCTCCTGAATACAGAAATGATTTAGGTATCTGGGATCCTAAGGCTTAGGGGTTTGAGGTTAAGGGATCTTAGATCTGGATCATCTGAACCATTCAGAAGCTTAAGGTTAAGGGACCCTATACTAGCAACCCAAACAGAAATCAAAGATCCTGGATCATCTCCTGGAGTTCTCCATCCGTTTGTGGGAGTTCCTCCTTAATCTGTGCCATAGTAGAGCTAACTGCGTTAACACCTTCCAGCATGGAGGCTCCACTCCATGCTCGGGAGAGCAATGCCCGCGCCAGCTTGACTGCCACAGGATCCATGGCACCTGGCACCTACGGCAGGGGCCACAAGCACAGCCCAAAATCCTGGATCAGGGACACAATAGATCATTAAGCCCGGAACAATGTTTGGATTTGGGAAGTTTTCTTGGGGCTTTAGACACTAGGTTGCAGATATGGGTTTCAGGACACGTGCCCGTACGTTTTTATACGTATTTATACGTATTTTGTACGCCTTTTGTACGGTTCCCATACGGGCCGATATGGGTAAATACGGGCGTGCAGCTACTAGAAATACGGGCGTGTCTGGGTTTATACGGGTGTGTGTGGGGAAATACGGTCGAGATACGGTGCTATACGGGGAAATACGGTCGAGATACGGGTGCTATACAGGAAAATACGGTTGAGATACGGGTCCCTGAGGTCCAAAACCTGCCAAAACTTGCTAAAACCTTTAAAAAAGCTTAAAAAAGCCTCAGTAGCCCCAGAATTTTTTGGATAAGTTCACCCCACAGCAACCAAAAACCCTGGACAGCCATAGTCTTGCACAGTCCTGAAGAACAACAGAAGCCACAAGTATCTGAAACACCCCCCCCCCCCAGTCCGCAAACTGAACAAATCCTCGGGCCTACCGAGTTTCTGTTCTAATCTTCAGGCACTGTATTGATCCAACCGTGAAACAGCCTGGACTCACCCTGTCGGAACCCTCTCACACACAACACAGTGATGGTGCCTGAGTTAAGATAATCAAGGCTTCCCACTAGCTTACACAACCTGTGTAGCTAATGTAACTGACAAACAACAAGAAAGGCTTGCTACTACCTGATCTGAATGAATGTAGCTGCAACCACACCGAGGTCACACAGCTACTTGTGGTCGACTGATGATCCAGGCACAGGCAACGATACACTCAAACCGGCTTGCAAGTTCCATAAATTGGAATGAGATAGGCCTGAACTACCATTGACTGTACACAGACCTGGTCAAAAGTCTCCTCTGATATGCAGCACAAGTATGTCCTTTAGGGCCAAGGTAGTTTGTTTGGGGTGCACGGTAAGGTTATTCATCTATAGTGGCCTATAAAACCTGTACATAACTATTGACAGTCCTAGCTTGTAGGAACAATCGAAACAAAGTGCTACCCTGAAACCATCTATATACTATACATAGAAACCCTAAGACCCCAAACGGTTTGGGATTTGGGATGAGCATCCAGGAGCTTTGGGACAGGACTGCTTCAGGAGCTAAGCTTTTGAGTTGCTGGGCTTGGAAGCATCAGGCTTTGTGCATGTTCAAAGGTTCGTGCTTTGGGATGTTGACATCAAACTCGATAAAGGTATGGGGGTGTTTATGGCTGATAACTTACTTGGGGCTGTAAAGAACAGGAGAGGATTCAGGAGGTCTAGGGGTTAGGACTAGAGGTCAGGTTGCTCTTAAGTTTCTTATAATGTTTGATTCCACAGTAAGTTTGGGCAAGCACATTTATGTGATTTTGGTTGAAGGTAGTGTAATGCATCTTTTCGTAAGACTGCATGAAGGGCAGGGTCAGCTTCAGGGGTTCCAGCTCTTGTGTTTTTGTAAAGTTGGGTCTGAGAACCATAGGCTGAATACAATCAAGGCATCTACTGTGCTGCACTAGAATGGATGTACTTAGGAAGCAACGGTCGCCATCTCTCTGGTACCTTCAATCCTTGGCAACCATAGAGATAAACAGCGACCTCCTGAAGCAGTGCATCAGAGCACTCATCCTCGTAGGTTGCACACCGAAACATCTCAAGAGCATCCCCTTCACCCCGAATGTTGCATGGTGCCATGCTGGTCTTCAGAAACTTGAAGATCTGGAGCAGTCTCATGCCCAGGCCAGCTGGATAGATCCTCATCGAGACATTGGGTGGGCTGGGATCAGCCCTGAGTGAAGCAGAATTGGAGGGTTTAGGGTTTAGGCTTAGGGCCAACTCTAGCTTTTGTAGGAGTTTTGGGGTGGAGGTTCAAGAACTGGGCGTGGAGTCTTGGTTCAAGGTGAGGCTTTAAAGGCTTGTGCTGGGTTTGGGGTTTAGGGGTTTAAGGCTTAGGGGTCTAGGGGTTTAAGGCTTAGGCGTCTGGGGTTCAGGCTGAGTGGCTGTGTTCCGGAGAGTTGATCCGTGCCGGTCCAGCAGCGTCGTCCAGAGTGATCGGTATAATAGCGAGCTGGTTTGATAACCTGTTGATTCCTTCTCTGTTCTTTTCGAAACTCTTTCAGAGAAAAAGATGTAGACCAGAATCCCCGTATCATGGAAGAGCTCGACCATAACGTCGTTCGTTTAGCTGTTTTTGACTTGAACTGGCCCATCCAAAACGAGACCTTGTAGACCTTACTGAGACTTAGATGCAATCGCACTAACCGACATGTACATCCCCCACAACAAAGCACCCCTACCCACGGTTAAATACACACCAGCTGAACATATTCTTGCATGAGGCCGGCAAGGAGCAGTCAGTCTCTGACACAGCCACCGAAAACGATCGTGCCTAAAAAGTAAACTCGAGCTTGGCTGTTCGAGTATAAAATTGCCGCCAGCCGCGACAGCCAGCAAGCAAAGCAAAGCACTCCTAAGTTGTATGACATATAGAAACTCATATGTGTGTACCTACTATGCTCATGCATGTGGCACAAACGAACTTGCACCATCGTATACCTGACATGGAAACCAACGACTCATCCTAGACACCGTGCAGCCATCAAGTTCGCCGAGGCCACTGATGTGTAGCCTTCATACCCCAGGGGGTTGACCCAAGAACGTCTTGTGCTTCCCCTGCTCGCATCAACCCATGTAGAGCATACCACTGCCAGCCAAACCACAAAACCGCTCTCACGTCCCATGAGGGTTGCAACCAGGAATGTCCTGAAGCAAAGCAACCCCAACACAAATGACATTGTATGTCTGCATATGTATAATGAACCTGAAGGCCGAAATGTGTACAGTCGTAGGCAGCCGAAGCAACCCAAAACCAGATGGTTTCAATATATCCATCCCAGGGGAATTAATCTTGTCGACAGCAGCAGCATTGTAACCAGCTTTCCGAGCTGCTTTGGTCAAAACAGCAGCCCCAGAGAAGTGCTCCACAAAGTCCAGAGGCTCCTGCAAACAAGAGACCAAGTCTTAGGAGGTGGGACCACCATATCTACACTATAGGCATACAGATGTCACACTAGACCGATCGTACCACTATTTCCTAGCTGCAACAATCAGTCCTTGTTGCCGTGCCACAGATCTTCATTCCAAAGAACCAGCAGCACACACAGGACGAAGATCTTGGGTACGGTACTGGTAATGGAGTTAGCTTCTGACACTGCATGCACCACGGCATCACATTGACCACTGCAATTCTTTATCATTTCAGACGAAGCACTTTCGGCGCGCCAAGGTTAAAAAGCCGGGGCACAAGGACAGCTTCACTTGGAGGCATGGTGGCTGGAAGTGGGTGCCCGAGACTATGTATTGTGTAGCTACATACCAGGATGCGTGCAGTCTTCTTAAGTCTTGTACTTGGAAGCGATAATGTACTCATTAGCTAACTATAGCTGCATGCATGCCTATGCACCTGCTATATGTACAGTAGAATGTAGATCAGCGAGTGAAGGACTAGCCAATCCGAGCATTCTGATGATAAGCCCATGGACTGCGCTGCAGTTCCACAAGTGCAGACAGTAGCAGGCACACACCCACACAGAAGTCAAAGCGCAACCACTTGTTGACATGCATTGAATGCACAGAAAGTCAATTGTCAAGACATGTCTGGCATACCCTGAGCCCCGGCAGCTTCCAGTTCAGCCCATGACAGAACAGCACCTGCTCTTGCAAGGCCTCGCTTTCGTTTGGATGCCATCGTGCGACTCCAAGATGACCTTCCGGACAGCATAGCTTTCACAGAACTGTGAGCTATTGGAAAGACCAGTGCTGGGAGAGAGACCGCAGTTCTGCATGTTGCACTTAAGCATGCTCGCAGCCAGCACTACACACTACCATGCAGTCATGCGATACTTGTCTGCGCACACAAAGCTGAACATCGATGCAGCATCAGCTTTCTTCGCAAAGGTGGGCCACGGAGCGTGTTAGCACACTGCCAGTGTCTCGGATTGGAGGATTTTGAATAAGATTGAAACCAGCCATGGCTGCTCTTAAGCCTTGGCCGTAGCAGCTAGAACCAGAGTGGTAGGACCACACAAAGGTTCCCCTGAACCCATCTCTAAGCAGCCCAAGCCACCCATGTTTCTAGTGGCTGCTGTCCCATCGATCACTGCATACAGTGATCTCATTGATCTGCTCACAAAATCGGCTTTGTCAGCATCGACAAGTCTGGCTCAGTCCGAATCACCATAGTCCCTGCCCGCCTGCACACATCATAGGGGTATGTACGGTTTATGGGATTCAAGGTTTAGGGCGTAAGGCTTTTGATTTAGGGTTAGGGATATAGGTTTTACCTTATTCCCATTAGCTATAAACCCTAAAATCCTGAACCTAAACCCCTAAACTATGTAGGATTGTAGAGCTGGCCTGGATGGGAGGAATCACCTTCTCTTGGACATACACCTCAGCTTGTACCAAGAAGAACGACTTGAAGTCTCCTTCAGAGACCACGGAATCATCCTCATCGAAGGCGGTCTTGGCCGTCTTCCAGTAGTCATACTGCACAGGGGAGAGAAATTCAATCCGAAGAGAGGGAGAGGGAGGGAGAGAGAGAGAGAGAGAGAGAGACTTATAGAGAAAGAAAGAGATAGAGAAAGACAAAGATAGAGATAGATATAGAGATCGAGAGAAAGTGAAGGGGTGTGAGTGAGGCAGGGAGGGAGTGAGGGAATGCACACAATCACCCAGACGAGTACAATCAAAAGCTTTGTGCACAAAGGGAGAACACGACTGAGTACTTTGCGCCTCGTGCTTGGTGCGGGAGCGTTCTGGGAGGTTTGGGTCAATGCACTCCACAAAGGACTTGACAATGTGCTGCCAGACCAGCCAGCCTTTGGCGCCCACAGTTTTCGGGCACCTCCGACCAGCGAACACATTCGGCATGTCAACCTCCTCTTTCGGGGCATCGGGCTCCGCTGGCTCCTCCTCTACTGGCTCCGGCTCATGCTCTGCTGGCTCCGGATCAGCCACATCCTCTGCTGGCTCTGGCTCAGCCACAGCCACTCTCTTCCTGCGGATACTGCGTCGCGCCAAGGGCGTCACGACACTCTCCACAGTGCCATCATGCTCACGCAAAGGAAAAACCTTCAGCGAGGGCCTGCCACCTGTAACAACCGGCTCCGAATAGGTGGGGCCGTCATTATCGCCTGCTTCTTCTGGCACAGGAAAGGCCATCATTGCGGGACGCTTCTTCCCACCTTTGCCCTTCTTGCCCTTTCGGCCCTTTTTCAAGACACGCTTGCACTTCTTGGGAGCGTGAGCCTCCATCACCTCAGCATCATTCTCGAGTGCCCTGGCCCGTTTGGCAGGCACCATCACCGGGATATCCTTGGACGAGGATGCCCTCTCACGCTGGGAAGCCTCCGGGACCTCTGGCTCCTTGTTGCTCGAGGCTTTGGCCTTGGGTGCTTTCTTAGAGGCTTTGGCCTTGGGTGCTTTCACAGGCAACTCCTCTGAAACCTCAGGCTCCTTCTTGCTCGAGGCTTTGGCCTTGGGTGCTCTCTTAGCAGAGGCTTTGGCCTTGGGTGCTTTCACAGGCAACTCTTCCGAAGCCTCAGGCACCTTCTTGCTTGAGGCTTTTGCCTTGGCTGGCCTTCCCCTCTTCTTCGTTCCCTCCTCACCATTATCAGCCTTCCGGTTGTTCTTCAAGGCAAGTTGATCTCCCCGAGTAATGACCTGCACATGGGAAGGCTTTCAGGTGTTATGTTGGAAACCAATCTACAAACATGGGTGATTTTTGCACACACACACACAAGGCCTGCGGGGGGGAAAACTCCATGAACTCTGAGCTTGCAGGCGGAGTTGACGGTGCGGGGTCGGTCACCGGTACGGGCAACTCGGATGTCGCCAGCATGTCACTGGGCTCAGAGCTGGGCTTGTCATGTGGCTTATCCCCGTCAGGGAAAAGTTCACGAGCAACACTGTTCGAGGCTGGGGAGTCCAACTGTCGCTTCTCCTCAGCAAGGATGGGATCCAACATCACTTGGGTATCCACCACAAAAGCCTGGGTCTCCATGTGGTCAACAGCCAATGACCCACCCTGTGAAGGTAGCACCTCATCATCTGAGTCCACAGTGAGGGGACCCTCAATGGCACGAGCCCGTGCTGCTCCTAGGATACACCATGAAAACATACATGCACTAGTGTGCACTCAATACACCAACAGGCCGAAAAGCTTGCCTTTGCCGCATCTGCACGTTCTTGTCGAAGCCTCAAGGACACAACTATCTCATATCCCATGCACGCACACACACACACACAACACACACACACACACCGCCACCACCACCGACACCACCGCCACCACCACCAACAACAACAACAACACCAGCAGCAACAACAACAACAACAACACTCCCTACAACAGCCCTACCCACACACACACACACACACCTTCTACATGCAGCAAAAGGGCAGCAGCTGGGCTTGAAGCCTTGCCTTGCTCATGGCTAGCATTTGCTTCAGATCTTCTCGTGATCCTCCCCCCGGTACTAAAGGACCACGGCGCTCAAGCACGGACCTGTCCACCGCACGACCTGGCTCCTTCTCTTCATCTGACAGCACACAGGCTGCTGTCTCGGACGACTCGGCTTTGGGCTCACACACTGCTGTCCCGGACGACTCGGCTTTGGGCTCACACACTGCTGTCCCACACGACTCAGCCTTGGGCTCCAAGACTGCTGTCACACACGACTCGGCTTTGGGCTCCAACATTGCTGTTCCACACGACTCGGCTTTGGGCTCAAAGACTGCTGTCCCACACGGTGACTCAGCACTGGGCTCCAAGACTGCTGTCCTAGACGACTCGGCACTGGGCTCCAACAATGCTGTCCCACACGAGCCTGCACTGGGCTCACTGCACTCTGCTGTGGGCTCAACAGACGCTTTATCCCCCAATAAATCAGCTTCAAGATCATCTGACAGTTCATCCAAAAGAGATTGCAGGGGGTCAGCATCGTCTGCGGAGTCGTTGTCCGCTGCAGCCTCATGCAGCGCACCTTCTGTGTCAGCATGTTCATCTCCAAGCCCCAACATAATCGTGGAGGGACCTGAGTCATCAGAAACAAACTCCAGGGGTGGTGGCTCAGAGTCACCAGAGGACTCCTCGGGCCCTGCAGCTGGGTAGGCATCGTCCGTAGCAGCCACAGCACTGCCCACATCATCATCACTGGCGATACGTCGGGGAATATTGATACCCGCCTTATTCAATTTTTGGGCACCAAGAATCTCACAGATGAATTTGTGGGACTGAAATGCACAAGTTATCTTCAGAGAACATGCAAACGAGAAGCAGCCAAGGCTGCCCGGACAATGTTCTCATACATGTCCACGAGCTCACGAACTCTGGGATCCTATCAGCATGTACGCACGTGCATGTGTCAGTTCTCAGAAAGAAATATGGCATGCCACAGTGCACAAAGCACACACACTACAGACTTGGAGTCCTTGGGGCTCTCATAGCGACCCCACTTCCTTCGCAGCGTCGTGAGGCATCTTTTGATGCCCCAGGCATCTCTGACAGCGATGGCTCCAAGGCGAGCTTTGTCTGGGTAGTGGGCAAGTTCCAAGAAGGCTGTGCATTGATCGACAATCATGTCTATTCCATTAGAGTCGATTGTCAGCGACTCTAACATGAGGCCCACAATGACCTTGAGAACTTCATTGTTCTCCGCACAATCCTTCAGCGTGCCCATGCATTGTACACAGCCATCAGCCGTTGCCCTCATGAGGGCATGGCCCTTGGCACAGCGCTCCCGAAGTGAGCGCACATTCTCCCATCTGCTCGCCAGCGTCGTCAAGTCTGCGAACCGCTTCACCATACTTGTCAATCAAGACTCCACCACAAATGAAAAGCCAAACAGCTGCACAAAGTTGCGTAGATCAGACTCTGCGTGTACATGTGCACATGTGGAACTATGTGTGTGCGGGAGTGAAAGTGATTGAGTGTTTGGTGAGAGTGACTGATTGAGAAAGTGAGTGTGAATGAGTGAGTGAGTGACTGAGTGCGAGTTAGTGAGGGAACGAGTGAGTAGGTGTGCAGGTGAGGGAAGGAACGAAATGAACCAGGAAGTTAGACCCTGAAACCCCGCCTGGCGCCCAAGGATGACAACCACCATCGAAGCCACGCACCTGCCGGGCAGATGGGTATAGATCTTTAGGGTTATAGGGTTTAGGGTTTGGGTGTTTAGGGTTTGGAATTAAGTTACCATGCAGATCTGGGTTCGGTGTGCAAAAGTAGAGAATCCGAAAATGCATCAATCCTTCATGCTTGCACCTAGAACCTTTTGGGTAGATAGAAGGAACAGTTGCCACGCAATTCAAAAATCCTAGCTCATCTGCATCTGCCCGCCTCGATCAGCAAGAGCAGGGAGCCATGGAGCAGCACAAACGAGGCAGGGCAACGGCCCATGTACGAAACCTTGGCCTAAAATGTACAAGAGGTGTCTGGACGGCTCCGCTGCTGTTGCTGCAAAGTATCACTGGATTGATTCGTGCTGGCATCATGGAAAAGAAAGGGGGTTGCAAAGTGTCACTGGATTGATTCGTGCTGGCATCATTCAAAAGGGGTTGCACACACTCCAATGAGGCCAATCGGCCCCTCGATCCCAATAGATCTGGATTAAGCCACCCATCAGCAGCCCACCAATCCTTGCAAGCCTGAATGGCACAAGCTTTAGCCCCGAATTCTGAAATACGGGCGTGGCTTTGTAAGAAACCAGTTATTCCTCCGAAACCAGTTATTTTGAAACGACGCTTAATTTACAGGCGTTCAAGGTCCCAGGTAGGTATGTACCTGCATATACCCACATACCTACTTACTCACACACGATCATACGTACTTACTCAGTTACTTCATTTTCAGATACTTATACACTTACATGCATACACGCATACACGCACGCACACACACACACACGGGGGGGGACGTTCTTGCTTAACTACTTACTGGCTTACTCGTTTACTTATATACTCATGTACGTACGTACTTACTTACTTGCTTGCTTGCTTGCTTACTTACTTACTTACTTACTTACTTACTTACTTACTTACTTACTTACGTATACTTACTTACATACGTACATATACAATTGCACGAATACTCACACATTTACTTTCTTGGCATGCATGCACACTTACGTGCATGCACATACATATGTACTGCATTGCATACCAACAATACGTGCACACACACACAGAGAGATATATACACCTGCATATACATTTCCAGTTACATATGTGCATTGACACATACATATACATACCCACATACACGTACCTTTACATACACATATACACATATACGCACATACATACATACA